TACTACTATGGGCTCACATATGAGGGATTCCCCATAAAAGACGGACGTTGAAACATCACTAAAATGGAAATTAGAGGGACCATAGAGATAGATCAAGAGTGGGGTCTGAGCCCTGAGAACAGGGAAAGTCAAAGACTTCCAAGTGTTGGCTGAGTTATCCAAGAAATCCAATTTAATGGTTAGAGCATATCAACAGGCGTTGTCTGGTTCCGGTGTGGTGAGGATGGTGATTTTTTGGGTTGAAATAGCAACCTAGCCTACTGTTAATTAGAAAAAGGTAAAGAGGAGAGGCAAGGTTTATCTCACAAGTACAAGGGATTGGAAACAACCAGAAACATTGGCAGGAAACCAGGTGGGCAGTTTGGCTTAAAGCCAGAACCTGCCCTGAGTCCTTGCAGAGAAGTATATTGCAAATCAGGAATGAACAAAGCCACTGTTCACTCCAGAACCAAGGGGAAGACTGCACTTCTCTGGTCAGGATAGGTTCATCAGACCAGGATTTAAGGGAACAATCTAATTTCCAGGTTCTGTCTTCTCCTGGAGTGAGGCATTGGACTGAGCACCATGATTAATTAGGATTGGCATAGATATTGGATACTGCATTTCTTTAGCTCTCTTTAAATAAAGGTATTTTTTTAACCCCAACTCATTTAATCAGAAAATTTGCTTTGGAGCTCCCCTTACGTATAAGGTTTAGAAGAAAAAAAAATCAATGGTGGAAGCGAGTCTCTGATCTCAAGAAGTTGACAATAACATATATTCACCCCAAAATCACTTTTTCTTTTGAGTCAGTGAGTGATATGTGCCAAGTCCAAAATCAGACATTTCACTGTGGGAGTTAGAGGAGGTATCAATCATGGCTGAGCAAAACACACATCAAAAGATTCCAGGAGGAGGGAGCATTTAAAGACACTTTTTCAGGGGTTAGAAGAGAACAAGAAAAAAGAAAAGGAAAAACAGAGTTGAAGTTTCCATGCAAACAGCTGCTAAATCCCCACTGGAATATTGGCAGAAGCACTTATACTCTTTCTGCCTGTGGATCTATGGGTAGATTGTTCCTTCCCACAACTCCTTGCTCTACTGCCAGTCTGACATGTTCAGGAACCATGTCCAGCTATGCAGAGTGGCATGAGGAGGTGCTGTCCAGATTCCTACAGAAGTATAATGAAAGTTACAGAAGGACCATGTAAATAATAATACACAAGAATGAGGCTGTCTCACCATCCTCTGCAGCCCATCCCTGGACAATAGCTCATATTGTCCCTCTTCTGGGATACTGGCCCCACGGAGCTAGGAACACCTAACAGACAAAAGAGGCAAGATGGTTAGCATCATGGTGGACCTGAGTTCCAGGAGAGCCAGCAATAGAAAGGTTGTCTTTTAGCTGTGCCACCTGGAGGCTGGCCTGGGAGGGGTCCTGCCTCTCTCCCCTGTCTGTTCACTGAGCCTGAAGCTCAACTCCTTTCCCTATTCCTCGCCCTTACTCCGGCAAGGAGCAAACCACATGAACCTGAGAGACTACTTCTCCCGACTTTCCAGTTAGCCAGCGCCGGCCTTCTTCAATTTCCTGGCACAGACCAAGCTATTTGGACTTCAGCACCTCTGCTGGTCTTCATTCCTCTTCCTGAAACATTCCTCCCAGGGCTCTCTGCTTGTCCTCCAGCTTCTTCTCACTTTCTGACCTCGTCCTTGATCTCAGCTTTCATGTCACTTGTCAGAGGGACTTGCCTGATCTCCCTGTGTAATTAAGGTAACCCACGTAATCTTTATCCCAGCACACTGTTTTCTCTCAGTAGGACTTAGCACTTGTGTAATTGCTCGTTTGTGGTCCTTCTAACCAACTCGAAAGCCTATCCCTGACGGCCTTGGCCATGTTAGTACACCATTTGCAAAAGTGTCTGGCATCAAGTTGATAGTAAATATTAATTGGGTGAATAATTGTATAGGTTTATAAAAGCAATTCCTTCTTTTAATGATATCACAGCCACACTCTAACTCGGCTTTTCCAAGGCAGGCAGTTTTCCCTCTTGGGGATGCTCCCAGCCTCTCCACTTTATCCACAGCTGATTTCTACAGTCCATAAGAAATCTCAGAGATTTATAGTGTGACTGCATAATCCCTCCAGCCTTTAACAGAGTTTCTTCTTCTGTTTCACTTCACATATATCCACCCCCAGAGAAACCCTAAAATATCAGAAAAGTTACATGCCATTTCCTTTTAAACTTAAAATCCGTGTCATCAGTGACAGCAACAGTAGAAGTTCACACTTCAGACAACGCCTCCACATCATTAGTGATCAACACCGAAATGGCTTGAAATTCTCTCCTCTGCATTATATCCTTGCAAAGAAACAAGCAAGAGCAACACGAAAATCAAAACTTTTCTCTTTTCAGATGTTTTAGGACTATATTTTGCTCTCTTTAGATTTGAGATAACTGCTTTTTAAAAATACTGTTTATTACTCTGTATTTCAGTGTTCTATATTCTTCCACATGATTCTTAGAACAAGCCAACGTTGTACATATTATTATCTATTTTTGACAGTAAGGAAATCGAAACTCACAGAAATTAAATAAATTCTCCAAAATCAGAAGACAAATGACAGAGGATTTGGAACTGAGCTCATCCGACTCTAGTGCCCAGACTCTAAACCTGGACCACACGTCAGCATGCCCTCGTCTATCCCATTTCGCCTGCCTCCAGTACTCTGGGGTATTTTGTATAAATCACTTGGTAAGGTGTATTTGCATAGATAGCATTGAGGAAGTACAAGTCTGTGAATCCCCTCCCCTACCCCCACCTGAAATGCAAGAAAGAGCTTACTGCTTTTGCTCTCTTAATCACATAAACCTGGTTCTGAGTCCTCCCTTGACAAAAAGTCAGGATGTCCAACATCAGTCATCGTTGGAGGCTGGCGAGAAGAGATGTTTCTACAAGGCAGGACACTCGACAGTCTCTCTACTACTGAGTGTGCATTTTTATCACTGATATCATCCAATCCCACATGGTGTATTTACGAAAAAATGAGCTAAGCAAAGCTTCTGTCCTTCTCTTCCAAACTGGAGCACAGGGCCTTTTGTTCAGGCTCCTATCAGTGAGATTGAAAGAGTTCAGCCCTCCCTAGGCACATCACACAGCTGTCCTTCCACCCAATGTCCTCCATTGGATGCTGAGGTCCAAACTTTTCTGGTCTTGGCAAGCACACCCTCTCACTCTACACTGAGCTACTTCTATCTCTTCACCTCCAAACCATTACGTCAATTGCATTCTCTTTTAGAGTGATCCAATTAAACTTTTCTCAGTGAAACTGGATCCAAAAAGCTGGGAGAGTAGGAAGATAAGGAATTCTTATATTTTCAAGGAATGTTGAATGGCTTTTTGTTCTGGAGACAATGTAGGGAGAAAAGATATGCCTATTTTGATATAATGAAGGCATAGCAGTTTTTAAAATAACATATTGGAAAACTTATTTCTTGATAACTCTATATTTTTAGAAATGATATGTGTAAGAAACTACTTGCGATATAATAAACAAATGACAAAATATCCTATCAGATATTTTACATTCAAATTATATATGTTTTAAATTTTGTATCACATGGCATTGATATAGATAAGACTATCTCCTTAGCCACTGGCCTGGAAGCTCTTTGAGATCAGAGTTTATGTATTAAAAGTTACTGATCCTCAAAATATGATGTAGTGTCTTTCCTACAAGAAGTGCCAAATATAGATCTACTGGGCACAATTTATATGCTATATACTCAGTTATATGAGCCTAAATATTTCATTTTTGCACTGTATTAAATAGTATTTTTATTTCAAATTCCAATTGTTCATTGCTTGTATACAGAAATGTAATTGATCTTGTGATCCTGCTATACTCACTATGTCTGGGAAGTTTTATAAAGATACTTTGGAATTTTCCACATAGATGTCATCTGTGCATAAAGACGGTTACTTTCTTCCTTTGTAATATACCTTTTATTTATTTTTCTTGTCTTATTGAGCTAGCTAGGACTTCCAGGACAATGTTGGCTACAGGTGGTGAGGGAGGACATCTTTGTCTTATTCCAGATCTTAGGCAGAAAGCATTCATTCAGTATCTCACCTTTAAGTATGATGTTACCTGTAGTATCTTTTCTAGATGTCCTTTATCAAGCTGAGGAAGTTCCTCTCTAATTCTAGTGTGCTGAGCCTTTTTATAAAGAAAGCGTATTGTATTTTATTGAACGCTTTTGGAGCATCAACTTAATCATATAATTTTTCTTCTCTGGCCTATTGATATGGTGGATTACATTAATTTATTTTTAAATGTTGAACCAGCCTTGCACACCCAGAATAAATCCCTCTTGGTTGTGGAGCATAATTCTTTTTATACATTGTTGGATTCCGCTTGCTATTATTGGTTTGAGACTTTTTGTGTTTAGTTCAAAAATGTGTAGTTTTCCTTTCGTGTAGTGTACTTATCTGGTTTTGGTAGTATGATAATGCTGACCTCATAGAGTTAATTAGTAATTGTTCCCTCTGCTTCTGTTTTTCTAGAAGAGATTTGGAAGAATGGTATCATTTATTCCAAAAATATTTGTCCGAGTTTACTGATAAAAACATCTATGTCTTGTGCTTTATTTAAGGAAGGTTATTAATTATTGATTCAATGTATTTAATAGGACTATTCAGGTTATCCACTTCTCCTTGCGTGCATTTTGGTTGTTTATGTCTTCAAATTTCATCTAAGTTATCAAACAGTATACCGTTACTATCTTTATAATGTCCTTGTATTCAGTGGCGATGACCCTCTTTCATCTTTGATATTAGTAATTCATGTCTTTACTATTTTTTCTTGTTTAGCCTACCTATAGGTTCATCAATTTTGGTCTCATTGATTTTTCTCTGTTGTTTTCCTGTTTTTAATTTCCTTGATTTCTAATAAATTTTTAAAATTTATTTTCTTCTGCTTGCTTTAGGCTTCAATTGCTTTTTTTCTCCAGTTACCTAAGGTGAAATTTTATGTTATCGATTTTAGATCTGTCTTCTTTTCTAATATATGCAGGTAATGCTGTACATTTCCCTCTGAGTGCTGTCTTTGCATTATTCCACACATTTTTGACAACATTTTATTTTTATTTTTATTTACTTCAAAATATTTTTAAATACCGTTGGAGACTTCTTTGACCCACATTTTATTTAGAAGTATGCTTTTAATCTTCAGATAGTTGGAATTTTTCTAGCTATCATTCTGTTTTTCATTTCTAGTTTAATTTCATTGTCACCCAAGAACACACTTTCTAGCCTTTTAAATTTGTTAAGGTGGGATTTATGGCCAGAATGTGGTCTATCTTGATGAATGTTCCATGTGAACCTGAGAAGAATGTGTATTCTGCTGTTGTTGTATGGAGGTATTTGGTCAATTAGATCAAGTTAATGAATGTGCTGTTCAGATCGTCTATCTCCTTACTGATCTTCTGCCAGATTTATCCATCAATTATTACATCTTCAGGGGTGTTACATCTTCAGCCCTAATGGATTTGTCTATTTTGCTATTTATTAGAGTTTCCTTCTCTCTACTTACATTACCCATCTGGTCTTGCGTGTTGTCTGCTTTCCCGTTAGAGTCATTATCATATTAATCATAGTTATTTTAAATTCCCTGCCTGGTATTTCCAACATCTGTGTCATATCTGGGTCTAGTTCTGAGGATTGCTTTGTCTCTTCAGACTGGTTTTCTTCTCCTTGCTTTTTGGCCTGGGTTGTAATTTTTTGTTGAAAGCTGGACATGTATCAGGTAACAGGAAATTAGGTAAACGGGCTGTTAGTGTGAGGTTTTAAGTTGATCTGCTAGCAGGTATGTGGGTTAATGTCTGCTGTGGCTTTAGGAGCCAAGGCTTCACTTTCCTCTAGGGTCTTGTTTCTGGCTTTGGTGTGGACTTTGGGCTTCCCTAAGTGCTGTTCTCTAGAGCAAGACTACGTCTTGCAGTTCTTTCCTCTGCAGCCGCTGAGTCCTCACTGACCCTTCTCTTTTTCCCCTACCCACATCAGACGTGTCAGAACATTCTGTCGGCCTTACCTTGAACATACATCCAGCCTGACCTTCTCTGCAGACACCTTAGTGTGATCACCAACGTCTGCTGCCTGGATTTGTACGGCAGCCTCTTCACTGGCCCATCTGCTCTCACCTCGTCCCTTGGGGCGGACATCTACCTGACCCTGTAAATCTGCTCTCTGCCCTTCACCTTACTGCGCTGTACCTCAGGATGCTGGACTGGCTCGTGCTCTGGCATCCACTGGCTTCAGACTACAAGGATCCCTGGCAGCAGATCAGTGTTAGGGAGGACACTGTGGAGCTGTATTAGTTTCCTAGGGCTGATGTAGCAAATTACCACGAACCTGGTGACTTAAAATAACAGAAATTTATTCTCTCACAGATTGGAGACTGGAAGGCCAAAATCAGTATTCCTGGGCCAAAACCAAGGTGTTGGCAGAGCCATGCTTTCTCCAAAAGCTGTAGGGGGAAATCTCTTCCTCGCCTCTTCCAGCTTCTGGTGGCTGCTGACATTTCTTGGCTGTGGCAGCATCACTCTAATTTTCAAATTTCTCTGCCTCTCTGTTATAAGGACATTTGTGACTGTACCTGGAACCCGTGGGGATAATCCAGGATAATCTATGCATATCAAAATCCCTAACTTAATCCTGCCTGAAAGGAATATTTTTCCATATAATGTAACATTTACAGGTTCCAGCAATTAGGACCTAATATCTTTGGGGATCATTTTTATCCTGCTACAGACTGTCTGTGTCCCTCAACCAAAGGTTATTCTATTTCTGCCCATACAACTTACACTTCAGTTTTCCTAAAATTACTAAATTATGTGTGCCATCTCTTTCCTGACAGGATCCTGACAGATACAACCCTACATGTGGTCTCAACATAACAGACAAGGTGATACTTTTCAAACTTAAGTCAGATCCATGGTTCCCCTCTACACTGAGAATAATAGCCAAATTCCTACAATGGCCCAAAAAGCCCCTATAATCTGGGTCCACGTTTTTTCACCGACCTATCCTCTGTCTCTCCTCCCAACCACTCGGGCCTCCTTGGTATTCCAGCTCATGTCTTAGGGTCTAGCACTGGCTCTTTCCTCTACCTGCAATGTTCTTCCCCAGATATCTGTAGTTCACTCCCTCACTTCCTTCAAAGCCTGATGCAAATCTCAATTTCTTAGTGAACCCCCACCCTGATCATCCTATTTAAAATCATGACCCACTGCCATACCCCCACCCCCCAAACGATGCTGATCATCTCATCGTTTTCTATCTTCTTTTTTCCTCCTAGTAAAACTTGTCACCTCCTAGGATACTATAAAATCTACTTATATATTAGGCTTAGGGTTTATCCTCTACCTTCTACAGAATGTGAGCTCCCTGATGGCAGGGACCATTGTCTACTTTACTCCCGATACCACCATGTATACAAGGGCTGGAACAGAGCTTGGCTCAGTAACTATTGGCTGAATGAGTCAATAACTCCCTGTGTGGGCAGCAGATCTTCCTCTGCATTGCTAGTAGGAGTGCAAAATGATACAAACAGTATGAAAAACAATCAGAGATGTGCACATCCTTTAACCTGGCCGTTATTATTTCTAAGAATTAATCCTACAAACATACTCGGGTATTTATAAAACATTACAGCCACAGTAATTATTGTAATAACAAACTACTGGAATTGTAAAGGAGGGGACTAGTGTAATATTATAAAACCATTGAAAGGAAAGAAGATGATGTATGGATGTGAACCAACAGCTTTGCAAAAAGGAAAGATAAAGAACAAAGTAACATATTTGCTTTTGCTTGTGTTAAGGAAGGTGCGTGCGTGTGTGTGTGCACGTGTGCGTATTTGCATAGGACACCTGGATGCACAAGCAGCTGTCAACAGCCATTGCCTAGAGGACAGGAGTGGAAGAAGACTTACAGTTTACAATACTTTCTTTTGCACTGTTTGGAATTTTTAAGGATCACGCACACGTGCATGCTTTTACCTATTTAAAATATATTAAAAGTGTTAAAAATACATATTTGTTTCTGCTTTCATGGCACTTAGAGCCTAGAGGGCTGGCACTCCTCTGACACCTGTCTCAGCTCCGTCCTTCTGTCCTTCCTCACACGTGCACCTGATGCCCGGTTCTAACCTTTGGGTGCACCATTTCCTGTCTTACTGTAACTCTCCTAAGACCACTCTTTCACAAGCACTAACTTAGTCTTTCTTTTCCAGTGTCAACGTCTGGTTTCTTCCGGACAAATTACCTCAATGGAAATAAATGGCAATTTGCTTTTGAAATGGGTGTAAATCTCAGTTCACAAACCCAGCTCTGCAATAAACAAAACTCTAGTTTAATGAATGATCCAATTGAATTTGTATTTCAACTCCACGTCTCAACAGGCTATGCAAAATCAGTTCTAGCCCTCCGCAGGACTTTCTGCATCCTCCAGGTCCTTCACTGGTCTAGGGCTCGTCGATCCTTCAGTCTTTCTGACTACACGACCTCTCCAGTGGGCCTGGCTCCTGCTGCTGCAGGCTGTTCTCCAGACAAGCTCCCTGGAGAGGCTGCTGTCAGTGCGTCTTCCCGGCTCCAGAGGCGATTCACAGGAGCCATCTGTGTTGATGACGTGGCCCAGGTCCCCTCTGTTTTCATTACCTCTGCTTTCTTCACCTTGATCCCCATCCCTGCCCTCGTAGCGTTTTTAGTACTGGGGATAACTTTTCTTTTATCTTTTTGGCCAGAAGATTTTGTCTATATCCTGAACCTTTTCATCACCCTGAGCAAGGTGCAGTCATTCATTCATTTATTCATTCATTCATCCACTCAGTCATTTGATAAGCATCCATTCAGCGCCTAACATGTCCAGACAGTGTTTTTGTATGGAGTTTACATTCTGACAGGAGAAAAAAAGACAACAAGAGCCAGCCCTGATGGCCTAGTGGTTCAAGTTCGGTGCACTCTGCTTTGGCAGCCTGGGCTTGGTTCCCGGGCACAGAACCACATCACTCGTCTGTCTGTAGCCATGCTGTGGTGATGGCTCACACAGAAGAACTAGAAGGACTTACAGCTAGAATATACAACTATGTACTGGGGCTTTGGGGAGGGAAAAAAAAAGGAAGATTAGCAACAGATGTTAGCACAGGGTGAATCTTTCCCAGCAAAAAAAAAAAAAAAAAAAAAAAAGACAATGGACAAGTTAGAAAGTAATAAAATAAGATCGTGATAAGTATTAAGGTGGAAGTAAAAGATATTTGTTTGAGAAATTCTTCTGTAACGCTTACTATCTTTGCATAAGTAACGTGGACAAACATCTGGGGCATCTGTTTTGCTTCCTGGACTCTTTCTACTTCCAGTCTCCCCCCTGACACATGGTCACAGAGTGGGCTGTATGCTTGACTCAGGGGTAAGGAAAGAGAGAAATAGAAAAAAAATAAGTTATTACCTCAAAATGTTATCCAAGCACATGCATACTTACTAGAACCACATTTCTCAAGGTAATGGAAAAAAAAGGAATTTAAACATAAACTGGCATTCCCATTATTATCTAAGGGTCACTTGCAGCTGAGAGTGAAGCCAGACCTTAATATTTCTCATCCTAAAATACTTTCCTGAACCTCTCAACTTGTCAACAGCCCTGTTCCCTACTCCCACTCATATGTCAAGTTCTCCAAATAGACGTCCGCCCAAAGAGCCTCTAGTTCTTTCCTTTTAGTCATAGCTCAGCTGCCTCCAGACAGGCTCTGTTCTCACCACTCAGCTAGAACTACTCTTGTCTGGGTTACAAATGACACCCGTGTCGCCCAGCACAATGGGCCTTGCTCCGTTCTCATTTTCTTGACTCCCAGGGATATTCATCACATTGCCTATTCCCTCGTTTGTGAAGCTTCTCTATATCCTCCACAGACCACCAATACAAAAGTGTCTGATTTCCTCAACTCCCTTTACTTAACATGTATAGCTATGTCATTAGAACGACGTA